ACAGCTGGCTGCCAGCCCCCCAGGCCCTGGGGACACACACAGCTGGCTGCCAGCCCCGCTCGGGTTGTGCCAGCCTGTCGTGGCAGAGCTGGGGTGCAGCTGGGGTGCAGCTCCATGCTGTGTGTGCCCCCAGGCTCTGTGTGAGGGGCCCTCTGGCTGTGACCCCTCTGGAAGAACAGCTTTCAGGGTGACTTGGGATAATGCATTGTCCTTGGGGAGCGTTGCAAACACGCAGCCCAAGCTCGCAGAGCTCAGGGGGTGGGTTGGAAGGACTCAGGGCTGTGTTGTCTTTCTCCAAGTGCAGCAGTTCAGAGTCAGAAGCAGCGAGGAGCTGATTAATTCCAGTCTCAGCATTGCTTGTGCTCCCTGAGAGGAGCAGAGCAGGGTGTTCCCTGGATGCTGGAGAGGGGCAGTGTGCTGTGAGTGCAGTCAGGATGTGGCCCAGGCTGTGGCACCAGCGAACACAAGCAGATCTCTGTGGATAATACGAGTCTTTTTTTTCTGTTTTGATTTTTTAGAATCAACCTTGTCCTATGTTAGGCAGCTGGAGGCCAGAGTAAGACAGCTGGAGGAGGAAAATCGCATGCTGCCCCAGGTGGGTGACTTCTGCTGTGGGATCAGGAGCTGGCAGGGAGAGAGCCCTGCTCCAGTCCCTGTGCCGGGGAGAGGGTCAGGATTCCTTGGCATCCCCACCTCTAAACTCTCAGATAACAAGGCCCCTCGTTCATCTGTGTGAGTGGGGGATTGATTTAAGGCCATGACAATGCTTTCTGTAATTTTTTTTTATCCTTTGCAGGAGTTATTACCTTGCTAGAAAAACTCCCTGGAGGCCCCTGCTTATAATTAATTAACTGACGGGTTGAAAATCACACTGAACTGACCCTTTGCACTCTGGTTTTACCCCAAGAGCTTCTTGTTAAAATATCAGCTACTTTTTATAGTTAACCAAAATATTTGGCTCTAAAAATGCAAATGCTCTAAGTACTAATAACTGGGTTATATTATTTTTAATCCCTTGAGGGATATATTAGAAGCGTAAATGCAAGGCTGAAATTAAATTAAATAAATAAGCAAATATGAAGTTAAAGGGTTTTTCCAATATGGTTTTAAGAAAAAAATTATTAGTTCATTAAAAATGAGTGAAAGACATTTGTAACTTTTCAGGTCTGCACATACTTACTAGAACATATTTCTCTTATATTTTATTAAATAAGCCTTAGAAAAATCCATAACTCCATAAAATCCATGACAGTTGGAAGGGCCTCTGCAGCTCTTTGCTGAGTGACCTTGAGCAGTTCACTTCTCTCCACCCTAATTTTTGGATCTGGAAAAGAGGGACGGCAAGAAATGTCTGTCCATTAACATGTGAACAGTCTTCAGCAGGAAAGACAAAGGTTGATCCTCAGTGACAAAGAATATTCTTTTCTTTTCAAGAATGTTTTTCAAGGCAAATGTTTTGTCTTGGGTCTGGAATAACACCAGGGGATAAATTGTGCAGAACATTCCTGGTGTGCAAAACCCTTGGAAGTGGCTGCGTGGTTTATGTTTGTTTGTCTGGGTCGGAGGTGCTCAGGTGGAGCCCCACAAAATGCATTCCCAGATCCTGCTGAAGGCTGGAACACCCACACTGTGGGCACAGAGTTCAGTGAAAATGAACCAAAACCAGAAAGCAGTGCTTGGGAGAAGTCATTGGAACAAAATGTGCTGCTGGTGGGGTTTGAAAGGCAGAGCCAGGTGGGCAAAGTGCTCCTGGGTTTGGAGTACTCAGCTCGGAGCTGGGCTCCTGAGGGGTTTGGCTGGCACAGAAAAATCTCCTGGTGTCTCTGGATACTTCATTCTAAGAAATAAGGAGTGATGAGGGTTCACATTTCCTGGCATAGCTTACCTTTCCTCCTGAAGGAAGGGATGGCTCTGGGGAGAGGAAGGAAATGCAGCTTGTTCCGACTCCACATCCGATCCCCTGCACGTTCCCTTTGCCCGAGTCAGTTCTGGGGGTTGTTGTTCCTGTGAGCACCACCCTGAACGTGCTCTCAGTGGTGATCAGGCCCTGCCACAAAGCCAAGGATGCACGATGGAAATGCATCAGCTCCTGGCACTGCTTCCATTCCATAGAATGGGAGGGGTGGGAATTTGTTGGGTGTGAAGCCAAACCAAGTGCTCCTGACAAATAAACTGCAAAGCTACAACGAGCTCCACAAGTGGGGAAGGTTTCTGGCACAGCCCTTGCTCAGTTCCTGTGCTGTGCCTTCCAATGTCAGCAGGGCCTCAGTGAGAGAGGCCTTTGTCCTTTTGCAGAGCCCCTCTTTGGCGGGGGGCTGGAGCACTGGGAGGGGTTGGGAATTGCAGGATTGCCCTTGGTAGGAGAGAGGTGACGACTCACTCCTGTGACACCTCTGCTCAGTCTGCACTGAAGAGCCCTGGCCTTGGCCCAGGCTTTTTCCTCTCCTCCTGCCACGCTTTCCTTCTTTTCCCTCTCTGCTTTCAATATCCTTTCTTTTCCTCCTCTTCTGCTTTCTGTCTCTCATGAAAATGCACTGACACATTTGCCGACACCTCTTCAGGCAAATCTCTCCCTTCCTGTCACTTAGGGGTGGTTCTTTCCCAATTTCTTTTGCTGTGCTTGTCTCTCTCCATATGTATTAATTTGTTTTTTTTTCTTTCCAAAACCTCACAGACCTCTAATGTAAAGGTTTTATTAATATTTAGTGGCAAGAACATTTCCAGAGAAAATGGTTTCAGGTGCTGCCCTCCCTGTTCAAGTGGAACCTGAGTTGTAGCTCACTCTGCTGTACCCAAGGGCTGCTTCGTCAGGGGAATTGCAGAACCACCACTGAGTCAATATTTTAGTTTGATCAGGTAATAGGAAAGGCATAAAAACGGGAATATCCTCTGGAGCCTGTTAATGTCTCCCTGTGCTGCACAGCTGTGGCTCAGAGCAGAGGGGTGGCTCTAAGGAAGAGCCATAGATGAGGTGTGGGTTTGCTGAGTTCCTGAGAGCTGCTCTTTTGTTGTTGGGGATTGACTTTTGCAGCTAACATTCAACAAATATGTAATATATGTACTTCAAAAAGTATGAGCAATGCTCCAGCCACACCTCAGTTAGCTGGAGACAGCCTGGAATTTTCGTAGGAGCAGTGTTTCAGGGCTGTGGAAATGTGGACATCTGTCATACAACGACAGGGAATACATTTGCAAAGAGAAGCTTGGCAAGTCACCCAATTCAAACTGCTTCGCTTCGTATTTGTTTCAGGGAAGGAGGGAGCAGGAGGCAGGGATGGAGAACTGACAGACATTCCCCCTTCCAACTCTTTGTCCTTGTAATTCAGCTTTCCCCCTCAGTGACAGGGAAGGGAAGCACTGCCAGGGTGCTGCAGACAAGCTGCCAGTGGAGGCTGGAATCAGGGAGCTGAGCTCCTGCTCCCACAGCCCAGGACCAAAGCCACAAGGCTGAACCAGAGCCCTTTGCTCCCTCTCTGCTGCCTTTGTTTCCTATTCTTTCCTTTCCAAGTCTTTTGGTCCTTTTCCATCTGTTTTTGTCGTCCCTCTTTCATTTGCACTGTTGCTTCAGGCACTTTTTGGGGGTTTTGCATCCTTGCTCTCCTTTTCCAGTCCTGGAATGTTTACCTGGGAAATGGCAGGTGTAACACTCAGGCACACACTGCTTTAGTTTTAAGCTGTTCCAACACTTTCCCTTTCTTTCTTTCTTCCCCCTTCATTAGATTATCACGTTTTATTTCAACCCGTTCCCAAATCTTTCAAAAACCTTTTGCTGAGATCTGTGTTTTTTATTTTCCCTCTGCATGACATGGTTTTAATTATAAATCTAATTAGAAATGGGAACTGTTTGGTTAGTGGGGTTTTTTTTTGTAAAATCTGTGTCACTCACAGTCCAACACTGCTTGTCTCCTCCCTTCCACAGAATAGGGAATCCTCCAACCAAAATGTAATTAAAACACATTGAACAAACTCATGTTTCCTAATCATGCCATCAAATATTTGCTGAAAGAGAGTAAAGCAAGAGCATCATCCACCCACCCAGTTCTTTCATGTGCTCTCATCCTCAGCTTGAATTAAAAGGTCATTAACAGAGGACTTCAGTTCCCAGCAGCCGAGGTTCTCACCAGTCAATGTCCTAGAGGGATTTCTCCTGAGCTCTTTGAGAACAGGTGAAAAACTGCAGCATTTGGAAATTGTGCATTTTAATTGACAGGAGCATTCCCTAAAAGAATTGTTGCTGTTCTTTAAGTGCATTATTAATCCAGCAGAGCAGTTCCCGCTCTCTGCTTTTCCTCTCTCCTGCCTGTTGGAAACGAGCTGACAAACACAGCCTGTGTTTGCTTGGAGCTTTACAGGGAAATTGAGGGCTGAGGAAATCAGAAAAATGCTTTGAAAATCAGGTAGTGATTGAGCTGGCGTGGCAGTTACCCAGCAGGAAGGATGTACTTCCCAGGAAACCACTTGCCTGTGGGATAAGGGGCTGCTGGAGAACGAGGTCCTGTGTGTTTGCTGAGGGTGAGTGAACAGAGGAAAACCCTGTTCTCTTGGAAGCTTTGGTGGGGTGACTGAATGTCCTCAGGGCAGGCATGGGCTGTGTTTTGCCCTCCCTGGCTCTCCCCCATTTCCTCCGGAGGGGCTGGAACACACAATCCCCCTGGCTTGGGTTGGCACTACAGTGGTTTCCATTCAGGACTGTCCTTACCAACAATGCAGATGGAAAAAATGAAGTTTTCTACTGGCTTAAGTAGCAAAGCTCCTGGTTAATTCTTTCCCTGTTCCACACAGGGGTCTTTATTCTGCCCGTGCCCAGGGCACAGTGCAGGGTTTGCCTCTGGCACTGGGGCAAAACGGCCTGAGCAGCCTCAACATTTTGCACTCAGTGTAAGCAAGATGGTGAATTCCCATTCCTCTGGGCTTTTGGGGAGGTGAGATTACAGGGTCGAGTCAGGTGTCCTGTGCTTTCCATTCCCTGGAGTCTGTATTGGCGTTAGATATTGTGTAGATTTACTCCTAACAGCAAATGATGTGCACAGCCAGTGATCTCACTCTTGTCCTGCTGGGAAGCCATGCCCAGGGGATGCTGTGGTTTTCCCTGCTCCCTGCAGAGGTGTGATCTGCACAGAGGACACATCAGACAGCACCAAACTGTGCTGGATCTCGGGCACCAGGGCTGGGCAGGGCAGCAGGGCAGGGTGGCTGCAGAGGAGGAGCAGAAAGGTCGGTTATTTCTCAGGTGCAGGTGCTGTGCAGTGCTGCTTGTTCCCAGTTCCTCAGGATGGTTTCAGCTCACACAGATTCCAGCAGTGTGGAGCCGTGTCTGGTTTGGTTCCACTTCCACAGCTTTGTTCCTGGGTATTAAAGGAAAAGCTCTGTCACAGGGGACACCTCCCTCCAGTGGCTGAGTGCAGGGGCTGTGTGTGGAGCCAGGGAAGAGGAGGGAGGGAGCAGCATCTCTCATCCCCCAAAGCCCCTTTGGCAAAGCCTTTGCCTCCTGTTTGGCTTCCCTGCCTCATGAGCTCATCAGGAGTGCTGGGGTGTCTCCAGCCCCACAGGACCCACCTCCAGGCTGGTTCCATCCCCATCATCTGCTGCAATAACCTTCCCCCAGAGAAGCAGAAGCTGTGCTGCCTCAGTGGAGCGGCCTCACCTGAGATGAGAAGCCCCTGAGCCTTGGATGGGCCTTCAGGGCTGCAAAATCTGCCTTATTTTTAAAGCAAAACTCGTGTCCCTTATCAAGGACAGAGGGAGAAGGATGTCCACGGGGGAAATACTAATTTTCAGTCTCCTCCCAACATGTGCTGGGAACACTGGCTGCTTGAAGCAGTGTGTTCACAAGTGTTTCATTCTCATGAAGGGAGGCAGAAATGTGCTGCATATGGCACAGAGGAGCTGTGGAGGACACACAGTGCCTGGAGCAGGGCTTGAACTCCAGAGCAGCGCCATTCACAGGAGGTTTGGAGTTCCTTGTGTTCAGGAGGCTTTACATGTATACTCCGTGCTCATTTTCTCAGCCTCTTCATGGCAATAGTTCTGTTTTACTGTTCCAAACTGACCAAAACCTTTGCTGGTGCTGCAGTTAGTAAAGAAACAGGATACTCTGACTTATAAACCCCCAAAGCTGACTGAGTGAATTCATCCTAACCCAGCACTGCTCCAATCTGCTTTATTGCCCCTTCTCCTTCCTCCTTCATTTCCTTTCCCAAAGTACAGCACTAAGTCTGGCCAGTCTCTAACAGATCTATAAATCCTTCCCCAAGCAAAATAAGTCCTAAGCCCCCTTCCATACATCACAACAAATTGATCACAGGCACTGCTGGGGAGAGTTGCAGGATAGTGCAGTGAGATCCATTAGTGCCCACTGGTGTGGATTCCATGGATCCATCGCTTGGCAGGAGGCCGGCGCTGGACGACAGGTCTGTGTGTGAAATGAGCTTTCAGATTCAGGCACAAAGTCCCTTTTCTGTGGGTTTGGCACATGCAGCATTCTGTTTATTTGTTATTGATTGACTGTTGGGTTTGGGGGGTTTGTTTGAGTGTAAGAGGCTCAGTCCTGCGGGGGATTGTGGGGGTCGAGTGGCTGTGCTGGGTGACTGGGAGGGTTCTCTCTGCCCTTTGGCACTGCTGGGCACATCCCAGCAGCACTGGAAGCTTGCTTTGGGCTGTGTTATTCCCTGTTCCTTTGCAGGCAGCCTGGATCTGTGAAGCTCAGCCTCGTGTTGTCGCCCTGTGCCCTTTCTCTCCCACACCCACCTTCATCTCTCCTGTTGTTTAGATTAGAGACACCCCCACAAACACTGCAATGTTCTGTGTGCTTGCTCAGTGGGACAAAGGAGTGCACATCAGGGCACTGACTCTGAGCAGAGGCTCTTCCCACTGTCGTTATTTCTCCTTCAGAAATGCATTTCCCACTCATCCCAGCAGGGATTACCACTGTTACTTCTTAATGTCTCCTACGGTGTTTCTTACTCTCTAAGAAAGGAACTTCCCATCTCTCAGTCTTTGAAGTGTTTTACTTCTTTATATTTCTCATTTGTTTTTAAGCCAAATTCCGCCTGAAGGCTGAGGGTGAGGAGCAGGGCAGGCTGGCAGCACCTCGGGAGCATCCACAGGGATCCCATGGCTGCCCACGAGTGCAGCAGGGGTATTTTTAGCACTCTCTGAAGCTTTCTCAGGTTACCTCAGCACTGCAGTTGCTCCGGGAGATGCTTCACACCCTGCAAAGCTTGAGGAGACTGAGCTGGAACAGTTCAGGTAGCTCACATTTGTCTGGCAGTGTCCCGAAAAACCCTTCCAGGTTGTCACTGAGGTTGTCACTGCTGGGGACAAATTGGCATCTGGTGCTGTGGGGAAATGGTCTGAGCAGCCTTAATGTTCTGCAGTCCGTGTGAGGTGCTAAACTTCCTCTCCCCTGGGCAAAGGCAAAGGGGGCCGTGCCCTGGCACCCTGGGAAGGAGTGAGTTGTCAGCCCGGAGCTGTTTCCTTCCCTGGCCAGCTGTGGCTGAGCTGGGCTTGCAAACCTTGCAGCAATGTTCCAAAATGTGAGTTTTGCTGAAGGAACAACCGCCAGAATTATTGGGATAAAATTAGACACCCTCCAAACCTTCCCCTGGGGTTGAAATCATCTCTCTAAGCTTTGCAGCGCTTTTCGTGCGAGATTTTGATTTGGAGATGAGAAATTTTGTTGCCACGTGCTGCCCTTCCAGGGGGACACCCCGGGGGGCCAGAGTGACACTCACGTGGATCTTGAGGCAGAGGGGGACTCGGGAGCACCACACGCCTTCAGTGCTGCTCAGCCCTTGAAAAGAGAGCAGCGAACAAGTGGCGTGTTTGACTCAGGACGGAGCGTGCTGTGTATTAAGGAGTGTTTGCTCTCTCGCCAAGGAGCCCGGTAGGATGCCCGGCGGGGCGGAGGGGCGGCCCTGCCCTGCCCAGCCAGCCAGCGTGGGGGGACACGGCCCGGGGGGACACGGCCCGGGGGGACACGGCCCGGCCTCTGCGCAGCCTGACTCAGTGGTAAATGCTCTGAAGGTAACGCTGCTCCGCCGCCGGCCCTGCCGCGCGTCCTGTCTGTCCCTCAGCTCCTATCCTGTCGTCCTGCCGACATCCCCGTGAGGACCACCGGGATGTTCCTGTCATCAGTGGGCTTGTTTCTGTCTGTCACCCATCGTATCTGTGGCCTGTGTGTGTCCTGGGCAGGGGTCTGGCCCTGGCGGGGGTGATTTTGCTCGCCGCGTTACTCACGCCTGTGGTGTTCATCTGGAGCTGAACGTGGTGTGTTGCTGAATAAGGAGGTGTTTCTGCTTCCTGGAGGATCCACGTTTGTGCTCAGGTGGGATACAGTGGATTCCTGCAGAGGGAAATACTCTAATGCAAAGATAAAGCTGAGGCACAGGCTATGTTCATGTTAAAAATAGCAGGGCCTCGGGCTGAAGACCATGGTCCCAAGGTCAGTGCTGACGCTGCTTTGGGAGCAGATGTGCTGTACCCTGAAGCCAGGGCTGGATTGCAGGGGCCTGTGTGACATTGATACACAGCCAGTGACACAAGGAATCGGAGGGGTAGAGTTGCAAGTTCTCACTTCTGTCAGCAGCAAAACTGTTGCAATTAAAGAAACTTAGAAGGTGTTACAAGATTGAAGGGTTCTGGGGTGATGGGAGACAGCAAGTGGCTGAGCTCGCTGCACGGGCGTCAGGGGTGTCCGTGTTCCTCTGGAGGGGATGAAAACTGAGGGAGAGCTGAGCAGGGACTGCATATTCCTCTCTCCTATTGTGGCTCAGACGTGGTGGATTTGGTGCTTTGTGCCCCTCTTCTCTCCTGTGCTTCACTCGTCAGCTGAACTGCCTCAATATCCAGCTGGATAAGCAGGTGTTCCTCCCCACATGTACAGGGGTTGCAGGGGCACTTGGAGGGGGCAGCTTTGCCCTCCTCCAGGGGAGGATTGGAAGGGACTTGTGTAGGTATTTGCTGTGGTTTTGAGCTTTGTGGAGATGCACAGTAAGAGCTCAGCAGTGCTGTGGATTTGCCTGGACCCCCAAGCTTCTGTGACATTGCCTTCTCCTCCATGAAGCTTGAAGAAATGGGTTTAAATCCCAGCCACCAGATCATTCCTGTGACACAAACCCGGGCACAGCACTTCACCACAGCCTGTGTTCCTGGCATCCAAAGGGGAGAGGCATCCAGGAGAGCTCCAGCCCCTCTTCCCACAATGGCAGGTCCCCTCTGGGGTGGCCTCCCCAGCCATGTCCCTGTCAGCAGCACTGCCCATGAGAGCTCCGGTCTTGCCCTCCTGCGACATTCCCAGCTCCAGGAGTGCCTGGCTCAGCAGTGCTCCGAGCCCTCCGTGCATCTTCCATACATCCCACCTGCTGCTGCCCAGAAAATAAAGCTATGCCAGGTAATTTTGTCAAGAGATCGTGGGTAATTATGGAAAAAAGCCTTTTGTAGTTCTCTTAAAATACCCCCTGGCAAAGGGACAACCTCCTTGTTGGTGCAACCCACTTCTCCCAGCAGGAAATCTGGAGAGCAGGAGTGTGTTTGAAAGGGGCAGATCCATTAGGGAACAGAGGGAGGGAATTGCTAAAAATGCTGCTGTTGTTTTCCTAAGTGATGAGGAGGCTTTAAAAAAAATTATGAAATTTAAAAAAATTGGCTGGGAATCTCCTCACTGTTGGAGAAAGTGAGAACAGGAGCAGAGCTTTGCCATGCAGGGGGTCTGATAAGGCTCTCCCAGGACCTGCTCCCTCAGGCAGGATGGCTGGAAGGAGAACTTGCCGGGTCCTTGGCAATCCTCCCCACCCTGCCAGTGGCTGTGGGATTATTCCTGGAGTGCAGGTGGCATCCCTGGGGATCTGTAAGTGGTTATTTCACACGGCAGGATGTGTTTGATTCCTTTTGGAAGTTGTATCTGGCCAAACTTCCTGCTTGTGACGTTCCAGACCAGGGTTTGTACGTGTGGAACAGTGATTGTTACCTGGTCTGTAGGTCTGTAAGTCTGACTACTTATACACTGTACTCACACTACTGGTCTGATTTGTGGCTGCCAAAAAATGTGTAAATGAAATTCCCTTCTTTTTAAACGTCCCCATGGCTTGGAAGTTCAGGAAAACATCAATCACCGGGCTGTTAAAGGCTCTCTTACCACCTCCTTAGTGAGACAGAGAAAGCTGAGGCTGGAGAAATGTGCAGTAAAAGTTTAAGGTGTTTAACTTTATATTCCATATTAAGCCTGGAAACACCTGAAGATGCAAAATATTTTTTGTTTAAATGCCCACAATATGCCCTTGAAGATTTTCAATGGAAATTAAGCCAATTACTGTTTCAGTAATGCAATTACTGTTTTATTAGGAGCACTATAACGTTAACATGTTGGTTAGTATTGATCAGAAAAATCTATGTGGGATAATATATCGGGGGTAAAGTACTGTATGACCTGAATTTATCCTTCCTAAGAATAAAATCTGGCAAGTGATGAAGCCTGGCAGCCTCAGTTTCCCCAGCTGAGCAATGGCCCTGATGACTTTTCCTGCCTCGGATATTCCTTTGCGATTTATGGCTAAAAAGGCAGCTTCTAACTCATACATTTTTCATGGTAATCCATAGAAATCCTTGTGGTGTAAGTAATGCCACTTCTAAATGCTAAATTTGACATTATCACTTCATTTTTGTAACTCTCAAATGTGTACTCGTGTCCTGCCTGGTCCCTTTGTTCCCAGCCATTCAAAGCTCTGCTGCTGCCACTGAAACGCTCCCTGTCCCTCTGACTTTTACAATCTCTGTCTGATGTCACTGTTGATACATTATTAGACTTTTAAAGCAGTTGGGTATTTCCTTTCTGGTTTTGCTTTCCCTTTTACCCGTCCAGTCCAGGTTAAAAGTGCAGTGGATTTGGGATAAACTGATTACAATGTTTATTACAATATTTTCTTTTGCCTTCTCGCTGCAGTTCCTGCCAGGCTGGAACTCACTGTTTGTCTGCAGCCTCGTGCACTGTGGGTGTTCCACAGGAAACATTTGCCATGGCATCATTTTCCCTGTGAAAACAGTGGAATGCTGACAGTTTTGGGCTCCCTAATTTTGGTGCACAGTTTGGATTGGTACCAAGATGCAATTTGGTACCCAAATAATGACATAATGCAAACTGCCAAGGTGGATGAGTAATTCACGTCGTAGGAACTTTGTGGTGTTCTGTGACCACGTTGGTGTTTTATTGGGATAACAGAGGCAGGAATTCTCTCCTCAGGACGTGCATGTGCAGTTGGTGTGGTATTTGGGAATGGTGTTATTTGGGAATGTTCTTGCTTTGTATTTATATACTTGCGTTGTCTTAAGAGGACGTAGCAACGTGGCAGCAGGTTAGAGGTCGTGTATTAGTGAGCAGGGAGGTAATTCCACAGCACAGGAATGTCTGGATTAAGTCTGGAGGGATGTTCTTCATGATTAGGAATGTCTGGATTAAGTCTGGAGGGGTGTTCTTCCTGATTTTCCTCAGGCTACTGGTAAGTTCAGTTTGCAGGGCTGCAGCACCCTCACTTGGGCTGGGAGCCAAAGGGAAGGTGGGATATTCCAGTAGGGATCGGGGGTGTAGCTGGGCAGGAGGACTGAAATTCCTGCTGAAATTCTGAGTGAAACTTTGCCCCCCCCTCTTGTCACTTGTCACCTTTGTGGGGCCCTTGTACGTGTCTGTCCCTTGCTGCCACTCAGGGGTCACTTGTTCAGCTGGAAAGAAAGGAAGTGTCACCTTCCAGTTTATTCCTGGGTCAGCATTAGCTGCTTGGTAAATATTGTCTCAATATTTATTGCCCGGGGAAGTTGTTAAAAGGCACGTGTAGGTGCCATGTGCCTTCCCACAGGAGCTCTCTGAGAGACCTTGATTTTGGTATCAGCTGTTGGACAGAATTGCCAGATCCAGCCCTGGCTGTGCCCAGACACCCAGTGTGGGAGGTGTCACTGAACCCCCACTTCCCGTGCTGTGCCCTCTGCAGTGTCTCACGCAGCAAACACACCGAAAACACACACGTGGATTTTTGGGATGTGACTTGGGATTCCAGGCTGCAGGATCCTGCTCTGTGGAAAGCTTGCAGGCTTTGGGTTATGCCCATCCCTTGGAATTAAAGACAGTTCCCTTTAAAGGACCATTATCTGTGGCCCTGTACAGTAGGACTGTAGCCCTGTTCCTTCCAATCTGGGAGTATTTCTGGTTTTCATGCCTATACTCGGGTTTTCTGCAGCAAAGGCTCACAGGAGCTGGGTTGTTTTCCCACCAATTGCACAGAATCACAGCAGGACCTTGGGGTTGTTCAGCTGGAGGAACCACCTTTTCAGGATGTCAGCTTCCCAGGATCCAGCTGCTTTGGCTTTATTCAGCTCCAGCTAAGGCAGTGTCTGTTCACTGCTGGACTTTGGGCACTGGTAAAACAATAAATAATGACAATGGAAACCAGTGTTACCTTTCCTGACAGTCATACTGCTGTTGGCCCAGAGGGTGATGGGTGGTTTAGTAGCAGTTCCACTTTAGCTGGTTGGGAGTTGATTATTATTAACCAGAAATACTCTGAAATTGCAGTGGAATCACCATTCTTGTCTCTAGAGAGGCCTGGTGACACAGTACCAGCTACTGCTCTCCTGCTTATAGTGCATCAATCTTCCTACAAATCATTATAAAATACTTCCTTTACATTTTTGGGGGTGTCACTTCTCTGCCTTTTTAATGCCAGTGTTGTAACAGATGATGTTAAGCCCAGTATAGCACAGTGACTACATGCACAATTCCTCGGACCTCAAGGAAGAACTAGGGAAATAAACACTTCTGGTGCCTTGCTTGGTTGTGAGAGAACAAGTAAATCCCTTGACAAAGAGGAGAACTGCTCTGTGCTTGTTAAACTGGAAATGTTTAGACACCTCTGGACTGATCTTTGTGCAGGAGATGTGGTTGGGGAAATAGCTGAGTTTCAGCTGAGGCCTTCAAACACCCTCAGTCTTGTGTCTGAAGCACAGAACATCCCAGTGATGCTCGTGCTGGCCCATCTGTGTCCGTTTTTAATCATTTCTACCCAGCAGCATGTGCTTTCTGTGTTCAGGAGGAATGCTGTACCCCCTGAGGAACATTGTGTGCTCCTGTCGTGTGTCCCTCCCCCGTGCTGCATGTCCCAGAGCCGTGGCATTCCAGCTGCATGTCCGTGTGAACACCGGCGCGCCTCGACCGGCGATAACGATCTCTTTCCATCCCTCCCTTTAGGTTGTGTGGAGGAAACTTGGAGATGCTGCAGGGTCGTGCCCTGGAATTAGGCAACACTTGTCAGGAAATCAGTATAAAGGACCCATGTAATGGCCTCTCTGAAGAGCAAGAGTTCGAAGTGCCCACGAGAGGGAAGGAACTGGCTGTCCCCCGATTCCCGCTGACGACGGGGTGTCTGGATGCGCTGCACGATCCTCAGCTGGACACCAGAGCTGCTGCCCGGGGGGCTGCCCGTGCCGGCAGCGTCCCCTCCTGCTGTTCCAATCGCCTGCCTAGTGACACGCTGCACCCTCGCTGCAAACACACCACCTTTAGGAGCACTGAGGTACCTCCATCCCAACTCCACAGATACTTGGGATTCTGCAGGAGCTGCGCGAAATAAGTTTTATTTTGGTTAGTTACGGCGAGTCTCTGATAGGCCTGAACGAGTTTCCCGCTGGATTTGAGAGAGGTTTTTCCACCAGACTGGAGAGACGTGGATAAACTGTGCCTTTGGTCTCCGCAGTTCTGAGAAAGTCGCTTCTTAGTAACTCCCCCTTCAGTCTGTAAAGGACCCGTTAATGGTGCTTAGGCAATTCCCAGGTGATTTCTTTGCTTTGGTAGAATAACCTGCCTTTGGAGGTGCTAAAAGACCATAAAGTCCTAACCAGCCAGTAGTGTAGCATTAACTACAGTCCTTGTAGTGATCCACAATTTCTTTCTAAAGGAAAGTCACGGTAGCTTTCTCTTGATGCAGGGGTGTTGGCAGCCCTTTAGTGAACAGAATACTTAGGCATCACTATCACAGGTCTCAGATCAGAATCTCCATCAGAATTTCTTTTGGAAAGTATTTTCCAGTTGTCAGGATGCTAATTTCTAACTGTTTAATTTAGAGACATGCTGGTTTATTTAACAAGAGCCTATAAGGATCTAAAAGATTGCACTGCATTATTAAAAAAAAAAAGCTTTCCTTGCCACCGTAGAGTTCTTTCAAAGAAAAAGGGTTTTATTATCCTCAGAGCATGTCTTTCATTATTAGGAGGCAGAAAGCTCTTGTTCAGATTGCCTGAGATGTGACCAGACGGCGCCCTAGATGTGCTTAGTTTATTTTTATCTCTGTGTATGACACTAGTCGTGTGTATTGAATTACAACATAGGTATTTTGTGTATATCTAAGAGCAACGATAGTTTCATGTATGAATGTGCAACAGGCTTGTGACTGAATGGCTGTTGCTTAACTTTTTACCATAGCTGAGCGTCAAAAAGAGACTAATAAAAAACAATAATAATAATAATAAAAGGAAAAAAAATAGGAATGCAACAATTCCTGGGTTTCTGGTTTGTTCTTGGTTGCGAAGGTTTGAGCCAAAGCGAGAAGCTCTGTTTTCTCTGGGCTTGGACATCCTGTACCCGTGGGCTGTTTGCCGTGGAATGTAGCTCGGTTGCTGTACAATCTTCTGTTATATAGCTGATGTAAATCTGCTACCTGTCTTCAGCCAAACTGTGTTAATTTGCAGCAGTAATTCTGTTGGGTTCTGTTGTTATTTCCACTTGGTACCATTGGATGTAAGGCCTCTGATCCAGCGTTGCTTTCTCGGGCAAAGCTCCCGTTCACTCCTCCTCCTTGAGTTGGGAATGCAGAATCCAGCCTTCTGTTTGAAACATGGCACTCCTGCGTGATTCCTGACACAGAACCCAGCCCAGGCAGCTGTGTGTTATCTTCCCACGTTGTTTTCTCCCACTGCAATTGTTGTATTCCTATCTCTGTGTGTATGAACAGCTGTGACACCTGTACTTGTGCCTGCAGGGGCTCCTCGAGGGACACTGGTCTTTTGACACTTCACTTGTGTAAATTTTGATACTGTATTAAAACTATTTTTTTACAGTTCTGCATACGATGGGGTATCAAGTATCTGTGTTCATCTTAGCAATGGTAATAAATTATAGAATCCCACCCTTGTTTGCTCTCCTTTCCTGACCAAAGCTGCGAGGGGCAGTTTGCCTCGAAGGAGCTGTTGGAAATGTTTCCTGCCTGGTCGAGAAATTAGCTGCATGTCGTGCATTTTTCTTCCTTTTCTTGCCAGGTGTCTTAAAAAAAAAAAAGAAAAAAAAATCCCAGAGCTCTGAACTTGGTTCTTTGTTTTATGCTAACGAGGAGCTCTGTGGCTGTGCCGTGGGGCAGTGACCAGGTGCAGGCTGTTAAGGCCAGGTGGAAGTTGGTAAGTTGATGGAGTTGCAGATCCAGGACACCTGTGCTGGCTCCTCCCTCCTCCCAGAGCAGCTCCAAGGTGAGGACAGAGCAACATGGAGCTCCTGGAGTCCCTTTGCTCAGGTAAGAGGTGCTGGTGTGTTGGTGGGACAAGGGGAGGTTGGTTGTGTCCTACTGTCCCCACTACATCTCCTTCCTCCCTCCCTCCATGGGCTGTGTGGGTCAGGAGTTTTCTGTAGAGCAGAAAACCTGCTCTAAATTTTCTGAAAAAAGAAAAAAAGAAAGCTCCTTAGTATAATCAGTATCTTGAAGCTGTGGTGGCCCCTAAAATGCAGCCTACTAAGAGCAGAAGGCAGGCAGGGTGTGGAGAAGGGGGTCAGTGCTCTGAGGGGCCCTGGAACCTGCTGGAATTTCTCTGAGCTAATGAATAAAAATCTCTGTAGCAGTTAGAGACCTTCATCCCATCTGCCTGGCTCCCTGCACACATGGTTAAGCCTTTTTCAGTGAAATGTGATTGCACCAGGCCTCGTGGGCTCCTTGTGCAGTTGTTTTAGCATAATTCTGCTTCAGCTGAAAATGTGCACGTGTTCCAGGGCCATTCCCGAGCTCTGAGCTGAGCCTGAATGAGCTGTAAAATTCACTATGGAGTGAATTTTAAATAGCACTGGTGTAGTGCATGTGGGGAGTGGATTTTACGTTCTGCACTGCAGAGAAGCTGCTTTGCTGAAGGGGCAGAAGGTAAAGAATGGCACTTTGTTTTCAGCAAGTGACTGGTCTCAGTGGAGCCTGTTCCCCAAAGGCTGCAGTTGATGGACATGTTTATGAATGTGACACGAAGCCAGTGTGCCCTTTCTAATGTTTTGAGCACCCAGCCCTGCTCTCCTTTGTGCTGCCCCAACCTCTCAAACACCAAATGCCCCTCGGGGCCTCTCTGCTGCCTCCCCAACAAATACCACCCTTGCCAAGGCACTGGTTTGTTTAAGTCTTTAAATGTCTTTGAAATAAGTCCCAGGGTGGTGTGAATTCTTTCTACTGATCTCACCAGTTTGATGCAGAAGTGGCTCAGCCATTTTTTTCCCCTCACTTTTGGGTGAAAAAAAAGTCTTGATGCGTTAACTCTTTCTTTTATTTTTTTTTTTTTGAGTTCCTACAGAGTGTCCCAGGAAATGCAGCTGCTGGGGGTATAATGCCAAACCCTCCTTATATCTCCACACTTGTGTTTTCCAGGCTCAGGTGAACCACGTGCACAGGGACCTCACCCCGAGGCAGCACCCACTGCAGCTCTGCTCATCCAGAATCCTGCAGGTAAGAACAGCTGACTCAGTGGCAGCTCTGCCTGGATTGAGTAAAGAGAGGCTCTGCATTCATTAATCAACCAGCAAACAGGCAATGCAAAAATGGTGATGCGAATGAAAATCAGCTTTTAAAATAGTCTCGCTTGAATAAAAATATGACTATGTTTTAGAAGCTTAAGAGATAACCAGAGATTTATGGACAAGAGACATAAATCTGACTTGAACTGAGAAAGCTCAGACACTTCCACACTTATAATTAGAAAATTGAGAAATATTGATGACAATGATGAAAAAAAGTAAAAGCATAGCATGTTGTGCTGTTGATGTAAGGGCTTTGCTGGCTCTGGGCAGCTCCAGCCTTGCCCAAGCATTAGTGGTTCTCCTCGTGCTGTGGCTGGTGGGGAAGGACCCCAGGGACTGCATCGTGTGCTTCTGTCTGAAACAGCTTCCTAAACACCTGGTTCACAAAGAAGTGCCAAAATAATAATAGTGAATTATTTAATATGTTTGTTAGAACATGATAATTACTCTCCCCTGGAATAAGAACTTGTTATAATGATCTCTTCAAAGCAGTGGCTGTGGCACTCAAGTTTGATGTTTCTTTGGGTTTTGTTTCTTTTCCTCACTACTGTGAATGGGTTGAAGTAAATTTTGAAAATAATTAATAAGTCTGCAGATGAAGAAAAGCAAAGGAAAAAAATATTGCGAGCCCATGCCCAGCCTCTGGAAAGAAAGAGGACAAAGGGAATGGGGTGGGGCTGCAGGTGGATCTGGTTCAGCATGGAGGTGGAAGAGCCCCTTTGCCCTGAGCTCACCTGTGTGTGGCAGTCCTTGAGGAGTGAGAGAGAAGGTGGTTGAACCTTTTCACAGGTGACTTTATTTGTTGTTTTATCTTTGCTCTTGCTGAATGCCAGGGCACAGGGGTGGCCCACGAGCAGTGGTGTTCCCCAGGCCTGAACACCTCTCCTGTAGAGCAGGATGGTGTGTGTTTTTTGACACCAGGGCACCTTGGCTTAGGTGAGCATGTTTAGCCCTGTGAAACCATGGCTCCAGGCTTAATTGTAGAGGTCAGAGAGAAAGGAAAACATTCTCTGGGGTTTGGAGGTGGCCTTTCAAAATAGGACCTGGTTTGTTGTCAGAGTGGTGGGGACTGGCCAGGACATCAGTCAGGGGCATGGGTTTGTTGAGCTGCTCTGTTTTTACAGGCATTAGACTTTGAAAGAGAGGAAATAACCTAAAAATATGATATTTCCCTCCCCTGCTGAAGGGGAAGTGTCCACACACTGCTATGTGTGCCCATTAGAGAGGCCCAGAGCCCACCCTGCTCAACCCTTGGAATCCCAGGAAAAGCACACGATGAAACATGGGAATGTTTCCATGGGAACTGTTCTTCTACTCTTGCTATTAAAACAGCCCTATAACACAAATGATAACAGGCCCCCATTTCTGCACCAAACTACAAACAGTGAACACTACAAAGGGAGCTGGTAAAGAGCAGGAGTGTAAATCAACCAAACTGCTAAATTAGGGACGTGCCTGCCTCTCCGTGAAAAAACCCAAGCAGATAAACAAAGCCCTTGGGGGAGTTAAAAAAAAAGAAAAGATCATTTTAATTATAGCACATCCAGCCAACATAAACCCCATGGATTGTGTGAAATCAGGTTTGTTCTTCTGATCAGCAGCAGGAAACCCTGTAGCAGATCAAATGTGTTCTGGGAGGCCAACTTGCTAATTGCTGCTCCTCGCTGAGCCAAAGCAAGCTATTTAGACAAAGGAGAGAATTCACTTCTTATTTAGTATTAATTATGAAATAGCATGTCTGGATGGGCTTCACAATAACACTACATTTCCTGGGGGAAAAAAATGTAGTTCTAATCCTGTGAAATAAGTGGAGAATTAACCTGTTGCTTCAGGCAGGAGCCCCAACATGTGCTTGCAGTTAAGTGCAAGATGAGTGAGGTCTTGATTGTTCAACCACAGCAAATTATGAAACTCATTTTAAAGCCTTCTTTACGAGCAGTTTTGTATGTTCGGACCTTACACTGATGTTAAAACAGTGTGACTTTTTATTTTTTTGGTCAAGACTTTCACACTTTGGTTTTTATTTTTAAAACCTGTTATGGCCACTTTGCAGCATCTCATTGTCTTCTCTCTAAAGATTCTGGCGTATTTGGGGGCTTGGATTTGTTGCTTTTTAATGAAAGCACATCATAGCCACTGAGCCTTTCCTTGACATGCATGGATTGAGAGCTAGATCTATGCACATCTTCACTGTGGAAAACTTTTCCTTAAATCTGCCCAGGATTTCCCATTTGTGTGTCATCTTTACACTGGGCACCTCTGGGGGGAGAGAGGCACGTGCCTTGTGCTCCAGTCTCTGGCCATGCTGGTGGTGTCCATGGACTCATTCTTGTATGTCCATGTCCATCTGGGGAGCCCAAAACAGGACCCAGTGCTCCAGAGGCATCACCAGAGGGGAAGGATCACCTCCCTCAGCCCTGGTTTATAAGCCCTGTAATGCTGGAGTTACAAAGGTTGCGTTGGGCCCCTGGCAGAATGGAAACTACAGGAATGCTCATATAGAGTATCCATAATCCATATGTGCTTTTGTTAAGTAATGACTTTACTGTGCCCAGCAAAAATGTTTCTGTGAGCGCCGATGGAAAGCTGAGCTGGATGGGAAGGCAGGTGCGTGCCAGCAGCAGGCAATAAATGTGCTGCTCTGAGGGCATTTTGGAGACATTTCCAGATTAAAGAATGAGTGGCTGGTTAAAAAAAAAAATACAAATAAGTGAAAAATAGACTACTTGAGGCTCTTGGAGCTGCTTCTCTCGGCCCTTTGAAGCTCTGCCTTTCCTCGGAGGATAGTTCCTGTGACCGTGGGCTTGGCTTTTTCCCTGCTAATATCAGTACTTCAGCAGGAAAAAGGAACAGTGGAGAGAAGAGGCATTTGATAACAGTCAGACAGCGATCAGTGCCCAGACTAGTGCTGATAAGGTTTTATCTTTGATCTTGACGAGTTAATTGATGCTCAGTGGTGCTCAGGTCTCAGCTGGAAACGTCGCCTGGTTAAGGAAGGGAGCGAGGGCTCGGTCCTGCCCGTGTCTCTGTCCCAGGACACACTTCCCGAGGGCCAGTGAAGGGCTAGGGGTGCAGATGAGGTTTCTGGGGGGCTGAGGGGGTGTTTCTCTCCCCTCTGCTCTCCAGGGGCCGTGTCTTGGTGTTTGTTCACACGATGCGGCCAGGATGGTGGGAACAGGGGGCAGCGGCTCCCTCGCTCCCCTCACGGCCCCTCAGAACCCCTTCTGCCCCTCACAGCCCCCCTGCCCATCACAGATGCCACATCTCCCAGCAGAGCCCCCTCACCAGCCCTGTCTCCCACTCGGAGACCCCTCACAGCCCCCCATCTCCCCTCACAGCCCCCCATCTCCCCTCACAGCCCCCCAT